AGTAATTTCTTCTGCTTTCAGATTAAAAGACTGCTAGGAAGTAAAACAAACTGTGGAACTTTCTACTATGCCTTGCTAATGTTTGTCAGAATCATACTTTACAAGGTGGCACTATTCCTGTGTTCAAAACCACCACTTTTACATGCTTGATAAATCATCATATGTTTATTTTTCTCATGCTACTATACTGCCTTTCCCTGTGTGTTCATTACAGCTTGTTTCTTCCTGAGATAGAGCAATATGGTCCTCTGCTGTAAATCACAGTGGTAAAAGGTATAGTACCTGTGTGTCTGGCCTTACAGTTTGCTGTTTGGGATCAGTATGTCAGGAAATTTGAGTCTACAGCCAAGTTTTTTTCCCTTGATAATAGGTAAATGGTGCTTTGAGACAGCTGAGGAGAAAAGCAGTGATGTCCCAAGGCCTATCTAGAAAAAGAAATCTGTTTTTTTGAGGCTTCGGCATGCCTTGTTCTACCTGGTTTTGGCTTTACTTCTTTCGGGGAAGAAATGACAGATGGTAGTATTACCATGTGCCTTTAGCACTCTCAAAAAAGATACCACTAACAGTAAACAGGGCAGGTCCCTTTTATTTTTTGTGCACAAGAGATGGTTAACTATGCCAGTGTTTGAATGCTTTGTCAGTAGATGTATGTTAACACCTTTTCTGGCTCTTAGGTGACCTTATTTTCAATGAAGGACAGTGTACTTCTCCACTAAGAGAGCAGCTGGATACAGGATTATATGGGAGTTGAAGCACTGTTATTTTTAACTCCTTATAGGTGGTCAGCATCAGGAAAAGATACATGCTTAACTTTGATAATCAACTTCAATTTCAAAGCTTTGATTAAAATCCTAGTAGGGATGAGACAGAGATTCTGCTTTGATGTAAAAATGTGCTTTATGGGACTGGAAGCATCCCACAGACGTATTTACATCCGCTTTATTTTTCATTAACTTGCCAAGATTTTATTTGACACTGTAAGTAGACCAGTCTTATTATTTATTTATGATATAAGCTCTGATGCTATATCACACAGGCAGTATCTTCACAGAGTCAAGCTGTACCGTTTGTGTTCTGACTCCTCCTGAGCTGTGGCTCTGTGATATCTGTTTGACCATGCAGAGTGCAGTGTGGAATAAGCAATCAGATGAACAGGTGAATATAGGCCAAGAAAATGCTGAAGGTTGTTTTAATATGAGTCAAATATGTGAATCTCTAATTATAGGCAAAGATGTCAATGTTTAGATTGAGAATTGACGAAGAGTTGTCATGCTATTGCTCAGCAAAGTCTTCACTTCAGAACAGTAACATTAATTCCAGTGCTGTTTGCAAATATCATGTACTCATTAATATATAAGCATACAGATTAAAAGGTAGGTTTGGTGTAAACATAGTGATTGAGGAGTTATTAAGTGTAACAATCTATATAAAATGAAGAGAAATCTGGCAATCCTACTTTTAGTGTAAAAATGGTCCCTACTTCTGTTTAAAATTACTGTAACACTGTATTGTTCTGTGTTTGCCTTGCTGGTGATAAACCTGCTTTTGAAGAACAACACTGTAGTTCTCCAGCTAGTGGGAATAGAATAAAACCGTGAGGAACACAGTGAGCAAAGGACTAAGTTGCAGTGGAAAAATGCCCACTGCATTTTTATGCAGTTGCATAAAAATGCCCATGGCTCAGGGGAGACCTTATCACCCTCTACAACTCCCTGACAGGAGGTTGTAGTCAGGTGGGGGTTGGTCTCTTCTCCCAGGCAACCAGCAGTAGGACAAGAGGGCACAGTCTCAAGCTCTGCCAGGGGAGGTTTAGGTTGGATATTAGGAAGAGATTTTTTACAGAGAGAGTAGTCAGACATTGGAATGGGCTGCCCAGGGAGGTGGTGGATTCACCATCCCTGGAGGTTTTCAAGATGAGACTGGATGTGGCACTTAGTGCCATGGTCTACTAAGGACATTGGACTCGATGATCTTTGAGGTCTCTTCCAACCTGGTTGATTCTATGATTCTATATAGTTATTGAGATGGGTTATTCCCTTGAGCTTCTGACACTGTAATGTGTATTGTTAGCATCTTACAGAGGGTATGTGTGGTCAAACACGTTGGATTTGTAATCAGACAATTGTGTTCTTCCACAGGCAAAATCAAGCTGAAAAGGCCAAAAAGCGACAGTTTTTCCATGAAAATTTATACATAATTTTTGTGAAATTTGATGACATAATCAAGGAAAATTTTAAGGCAGATGGAAAAAAACCCCAAGCCTACTAGCCTGTATCTTCAAATAAAGACAAACAGGAACTGTGCTGAAAATATATTTTATAATACTAATGAAATTAGTTGACTGTTAGTATGCTATGTTAGACCCATCTGACTTTAGTCTGGTTGAAAGCATAACTTTTAAAATAGACACCATTTGGGGCTTTTACGTAGCAGGGTAAATGTGAAAAGAATGTATCCATAATATTTTTGAGGATTGAGTGCTTTGTTTTAGGAAAAGTTTTAATATTCTTGCAAAAGTTCCTGATGCATTCAACTCATTTCTGCCAAGATACTTGTAGCCTTACCAAAAGTTGAGGATTTTCTTTTTTAAATTAATTGATTTTCAAACAACACTGTGCAAGTCAAGGGAGGTGGTCCTGCTCCTCTTACTCAGCCCTGGTGTGGCAACATCTGCAGTGCTTTGTCTGCTTCTGGTTCCTCAGTACAAGAGAGACTTGGAGCTACTGGAGTGGGTCCAGCTGAGGTCAACAAAGATGAGTAGAGGTCTGGAGCATCTCTTTTGAGGAAAGACTGAGGGAGTTGGGCCTGTTTAGCCTTGAGAAAGGGCAACTGAGAGGGCACCTCATCAATGTCTATAAGCATCTGAAAGGAGGGTGCCAAGAGGATGGTGCCAGGCTCTCCTCAGTGGTGCAAACCAATAGGACAAGAGACAATGGGCAAAAACTGATGGACAGGATGTTCCACCTGAATATGAGGAAGAACTTCTTTATTGTGTAGGTGACCAAGCACTGGAACAGATTGCCCAGAGAGGTTGTGGAATCTCCCTCACTGGAGATATTTAAGAACCATCTGGATGCACTCCTGAGCCATGAGCTCTAGGATGGCCCTGCTTGGTCAGGGAAGTTGGACCAGATGACCCATTGTGGTCCTTTCTGACATGACCCATTCCATGACTCTGTGATAAGCAGAGAAACCCGCTGTGAATTTTGACAGTGTTTGTATGCAAGTTGTCTAATGTCATCCTTTTTGGGGGGGTTGCTTTTTCATGTGATGTAAATAGGAAAAACCCATAAATTCCAGACCAAACTTTCTCTTGAGAATGGTTTTCCCAAAGGTTTCTCACTGTGAAATCTTGTGCTTCACTTTTAGGTCAAACACAAACCTCATTATATTTATAGGGTAAAGTCTGAAGGTCCTACCTTTTTGACAGGCAGCATGACACAGTACAAAATCTCTGTATGTTTCCACAGTTCTAGTAGCTAATCTCCTCTGACACTTAGATTTTAAAAATAAAAATACTCTTTTTATTAATAAGAATTAGCAATACCAGTTTGTAAATAAAACCATTTCTTTTCATGCTACTTTACGTTTTCATTATAACTTTTAGGCCTTCTCCCCTAGCTATGGGGACACTAAAGCAGCAGTGTTTGTTTTGGTTGCTAAGTGTTGCACAGTGTATTGGAATCTACTATTTTGCTTTAATATCTCTGAAATCCTTGTACTTTTAGCAAGCTGTTCTTTAGGAACTAATACATTTACACATATTCCAGGTACACCTAACCTTTCTAGCCTACAAGCCATACAGGAATCAATGTCTCATGGCAGAACACCACAGGGTTGGGGCCCCAGAGAGCTGCTGACTACCTGCTTGCCCCAGCTGAGGATGGGACTTCCCTCGTTGCAATACTAATGCAGGGGATGCAGCCTAGTGTGGGAGCTGGGCTGGAACTGTTCACAAGAATCATGTTAATCAAGAGCCATAGATCACACCCTCCCCCTCCCCTTACTGTATATCACTTAGAATCAAACACTTAAAACCTTAAGTGAGGAACATGTACATTAAACTTGCTATATTAAATGATGGGGGGTTTAAACGCAGCTTTGTCTTTGCTTATATAACTCTTTCTCACTCAGAATTGTATATAGCCCTGTTTTCCCTGAGAGATTGGCCAGTATTTAAAAATGCTGATGCCTACACTGCCTCACAGATAAGAAAGCAGATAATCACACTGTGGGGAAAGAAAGAAATATGCGAGGTGTTAAAAATTTAACCTAATTTCTGTTTAACTTTAAATGGGAAGCACTGTAGCAGTACTGTACAGCAGGCCTCTGGATGCTTTTTTTTTTTTACAAAGGTTAATTAGTGCATGATTTAAAAAGCTTGGGAAACACTGATTCACATCAGGTACTTTCGTAAGAAAAGCAAGTGATGGTAAATCATATTAGAAGAATAAACAGAAGACCTTCTCGGATTCTTGTGTAGTCTTCAATAAAGTGTCTGAGTCTTACTACAAAGCATAAAAGACTGAGGCAAATTTCAGAATGTACTTTCTAAAAAATCAGGGAATATGCACTTAAAGTCTTGCTTTCCGTCAGGTATTAATTAAGTGTATTTTTGCCTCTGTAGAAGTTTTTACCAATTACTTCGATAAATATTTCTGTCATCATGGTATCTGATTGGGAGCATGCACATACATCTGTCATAAACTGTTCACACAGACTGTCCAAAGCTACACCAGCAGTGGTTTGAATCTGCTGTTTACAATGAAAAACCAGAGCTGAGCACTGATCATATTCCCTGTTGACAGAGGCAAGTTACCCTGTGTCAGCTGCTTCGCTGCAACAGCTTATATGCCAGAAAGACAATACTTTAAAAATATTAGTTTTACCATAAAAGCTTATAAAAGAAAAAGCCACAAGATTAGCAGAACTGTAGCATGAAGATTGGGCTTTACTTGGAGGGGTCTAACGCTGTTTCTGTCCTTAATGATTTTTTCAGAATGGCAGAGACGCATGGTTTGATGGAGAGACTGGAGAAAGCAGTGACTCGACTTGAATCGTTGTTTTCAGATTCACACAGATCTGGTGCGATGGAGTGCGATGGGATCAATGGAGTCAATGGAAGTAAGTCTGGTGTTTTTGAAGTAGGGTCTCTCTGTTACTAAAAAATTGCAAGTAGTGCGGTGTTTTGATACGGAATTTGTAGGGGGCCTCTTAGAAGACAAATGCAGGCAAATTCTGTATCAAAATTAAGTAATATTTTTAAAAATTGATTTAGAAATGTCACCTAACAAGCTTAGTTGTATGCATAATTCTAAATTAATATAGCCTAGAAAAATCAAATTGACTGTTTCTTAAATATATTGT